CAGTTGGGAAACTCGCCGTCGAAACCTGGTCCGCTGGCGTCCACCGAGACCGAGCTAAATACGACAACAGCGCCACTCTTTATCATTTGTCTGTACTGTGGTCACCTTGAGCTTCTAAAAAGCATGTTTTTGCGTAAAAACAAACGGAAAAGACTCTTTTTGTATGAAATTTTTTGGAGTTTAGGACAAAATGAAGGGCGCGTGATGTCTTTATGATCTTTAGTTTGCAAGGTTTCGCGGAACAATTAATATTGTTTTTATACAACCATGCCTCATCGGTACTTTCAGCTAGCGCGTCCCGACCTAGGTCCATGCGGCGCGTGCGCTGGGGAGACGGGGTGGCACCCCTGTAACCTCTTCGCTGTGTCTTTTTCGGCGCAAAATGCCGATTAAAGCCAAAATAGAAGTAACGTGCAGTTCCTCGAGTGGCCGCTGCGGGAGAAATGGCGGCATTGTGTTCACCATTAGCTCGGTTCTGGTGGACAGATTGGGACCACTTTTTCAGAGCAGTCTCTATGGCAGTTTCCGAACTGAGTGGTTCTAGTACGTTGCCTTGGCTGTAGAGTTCCGGGTAGCGGAGCTGCTTAGCGGAGGGGCTTAGCGGAGCGGGAAACACGATCTACTGAAACTCGCTGATAAGACCGCAAGGAAAAGCGACATATCGAAGCAGGTAGGACGAAAGAAGTTCGAACTGCAACCGACAACAAGCAGACAAAAAAAAAAAAAAAAAAGCGGCTGCAAGCACGCGCGTTTCCGGATCTCGGAGGCTGCTATGCTTATCAGCGTGTAGCTCTCGCGCACCTTGGTGCCCTCCTTTCTCTCGGGTCACGTGATCAGAGAGGAGGAATGGGGCGCGGTCAAGCAGGTCAAGGCGCAGGACACCGGGGCCCCCCGAGCCCCCCACCCCCCACCCTCTTCTTGGGTATCAATGCGTTGCAGCCTCGGAAAGCAGGCGAATCGCGCGCATTTCCGCACGCTCGAAGGCTGGAAATGGCGCCCGCCGGAAGCTCGGCTTGTGCCCCAGCGAGGAAAGCACTCAGCGCGAGCTCGTAATTTGACTGCTGCAACGGCGGGCGTGCTCGCGCTATGCTCGATGTTTTAGCAGCCAAGTGTTCGCGCGCTACCCTCGCTACGTCTTCAATAGACCGATCTTACCAAGCGTTCGGCGCATGCGTGACGCCGCCATAACTTTAGTTCGCAGGAGGCAGGCTGCAGTGCACAAGACGGCTCGTGCCGCCTCATGCTGCACACGCGCAGAGCTCCAGCGAGGTTGTCACACGTGCAGAAAGACTAAAGCTCCCTCAATGCATTGTGGCAGCGGTGGCGTAGTCAAACTGGCTGGTGAGATCGGTCTATTGAGGTGAAACGGAGTCCAGAAGGGTATTCTTTCATGCGGTCGCGTCTTCTGCGAGAAAGTTCCGAGCTGAATAAGTAAATTGAGGCAACAAAGAACGCCACAGTTTTAACGTTCTACCAAAAATATTGCTTCGCCGAAGTCGCTCGTTTACACACAAAAAAAGAAGAAAAAACAAGATCTTGTTTATTGCAGTGGCATTATAAGCGAACATCAGCGCAATCAAAATATAAATATAATTACTTGCATTACGCGGACAATTTGAAATCGATGTACCGGCACTCCCGGCCTTCCGGAAACAGAAACCGAGGCTGAAACAGGCGTACCCATGCCGCCGATCTGTACGTTCAGTATCAAACGGTTGTCCGGAGGGCCGTTTGCTTAAACCGGTGCAGTTTGCCGGTCACCGCTCACCCGTCCGTGGAACATGGTCACCGGTTTAAGCAAACGTGCGACAACTTTGCCCAAACGAGTGGCCCATTTTTCCAGAGGAGTGATCCCTTTGCTAAAAGAGTGACCTTTTTGCCCAAATGGGGAACCGTTATGGCTCATACGGGAGACCCCTTTGAGCCATACGGGCGACCCCTTTGACGAAGTGATAAACGGTATGGCTATACCAGGGGTGGCCAAACCTCGGCTCGCGAGCCGCATGGGGCTCTTTGCTGGTCACTGTGCGGCTCGCAGATCCCTTGTAAAGGGACCCCCCCCCCCCCCCCCCCAGACCGTTCTGCGTTTCCCCAGGAAAGAAAAAAAGGATTTCAGAATAAAGAACAGCTTGTGGTTTGACAGCCTTGCGCCCCCATACGTGCAGTCGAACCGCTTTTCACTCGTATGTTTCCACAGATCCTGTTTCTTTCATTGTTCGAGGGAATTTGCCGGATCCTAATTGGAAAGGCATCAAGGAGAGGGACTGCCAAAACATGCATGCACTTTAGCTTGGGGTCGAGGAAATGTTCTGTCTCACGGCCTTTGTCACTCGCCGGTGACACTTGTCCCCTTTAAGTAACGGTTGTTCCCTCCATATCGTTTCTTGCTCAAGTTCGCGAAAGCGCGGGTTGACCTCATTTATTGCTTCCGCAGACGTTATATTCAAGTTCACAGAAGACCAGGAACATTCTCATTGCCATTTTTACCGGCTTGCAGTTGTGACCCGCAAGCTGCTTTTTTATGCTTTCGGGGGGAAGGGGGGGGGGGGGGGGGTATAACCAGGCAGCGGTGTTTGTTCCCTCCACCCCCCCCCCCCCTTTCGGCGAATCCCGGACAAAAGCTCACCGGACAAAAGCTCACCGGAGAGAAGCTCACCGGACAAAAGCTCACCGGACAAAAGCTCACCCATTTTTTCACAGACCCGGACAAAAGCTCACCCATTTTTTCACAGACCCGGACAAAAGCTCACCCATATTTTCACAGACCCGGACAAAAGCTCACCACGAGAAAATTTCAGGTTGGTCTTAACACGAGTGCGGACAACTTAGGTGCATGCGTGCGAAACAAAAAGGCAACGATAAATTAAACCTGACAGGCACATGGTTTGTTGATTTTAGTAGAAACAAGTTTATTTATCGATTGGTTAGAAGCGAATGCAGTCCCCCACTAGCTCCAGCAGTTTTGGTAGATCTCGATGTACATGCAAGCCCTCGCAAATATTTCTAAGACGATTCTCCAGGTGCAGAGTAATTTTTCGCACCCGCTTTACGGCGGGCTCACCTCTCCGGGCTTTTGTCAATGCCGTGGCAACGAGCGCCTGATTTTGCTGTAGGCATTCAATCGGCCTCAAGACGCTTGGATGGGCGTGGCCGACGAGCTTCTGGAACCCGGTACTCTATCCTTCGCAGGTGTTGCTCATCCGGTCTTTATCTTGAAGAGTGGTGTCGTACATATTCCACCGTACCGGGGGAAGCTCCGGTCGCCGTCGGCGCAGAGTCAGGCGAAGGGAAGAATTCGCTCTGGGTGCCGCCGCAGATGGAACAGAAGCATAACGGAAGTGGCCGTTGAAATACGTGCAATCAAAATGGTCCAGCAGGTAGCCGATGTCACCGGTAGACTTTTCCCTGGTGGTTACTTCTTGTTTAACAAGCTGTGGTGGAAGGAACCCGAGCCTATCTAAAATCCCGCGCAATTTTTTTAAATTGGCCATCTGTCTTGTACTTTTCCAAAAGGCCGAACTCCCGTTCTTTCAAAGTATTTTTAAAAAAAATTCTCAACTCAATGGTGGATGAGGTACAAGTTCTCCTAAAAATGGTCCAATGTCCATTGCGTCCGCAATTTATTTCAGCCCGTGTTTTGCCCGGATAGTAAAAAAAAAAGAAATCGAGGTGAGCTTTTGTCTGGGTCTGTCAAAAAGCGGGTGAGCTTTTGTCCGGGTCTGTCAAAAAACGGGTGAGCTTTTGTCCGGTGAGCTTTTGTCCGGTGAGCTTCTGTCCGGTGAGCTTTTGTCCGGTGAGCTTTTGTCCGGTTACCCTTTCGGCGGATCTTATACTCCGCGACATCTTTTCTTGGCAATGCAGTGGAAGGTACAGGCCCGCGTCCCCTCTCCCATTTTGAGTGTGCGCGGGCTCTCCTCCTCTCGCCGGAAATGGGGGAGGAGGAGAGCCTGCGTACACTCAAAATGGGAGAGGGGACGCTGGCCTGTACCTTCCACTGCATTGCCAAGAAAAGTCGCGTAGTATAGAAGGTTCATGATTTCCTTTGCGGCTCTTAGGCCGGGTCAGCCTGGCCACCCCTGGGCTATACTGTTACCGGTATGAAACCGTTTACTTTCATACAAACGCCAAATGTTTTTTTTTAGCAGGGAATTTTCTTTTTTCCATCTCATTTTTTCTTTTCCTTTTCTTTTTTTGTTTTCTTTATCTATCTGTTTCAATTTTTTTTCTTAATGATTTTTTGTATATATCTACTTCAAAAAGCATCCTCCTATTTCATATCCGATGTCTTTTTTTATCTTCCTTCTTCTTCTTCTTTATTCATTTTTCTATTTGAAATATCTCACTTCTTTTTGTCTTCTTTTCTCTTGAAAATTAAACGGCAGTCGTCAGTTAGCGCTCTTTCCTGTCTTCTCGTTCTTCCTTTCGTCGTTCTCGGGATATTTTTTACTAACCGAAGCACCTGGCTGCAAATATGTGTCGCAGGTACACGTCATTGGAAGCGCTGTGCAGGCGCTTGTTTTGTAGTTAGAATACTTACATCTTTAAACAAGTTTTTAAACTACGAATTTTTAAATTTTTTCTTTGTTTGTTGTTTTGAGTTTTAGTCATAAAGACCGCTCCCTGGACAAAACAAAAGTTAAAGTAAACTTGATCTATTAAATTTTCTCTTTAAATTTAGTTGCAATACGTACTCAACATTTTCTAACTGGCCTCTAGGATTGTGATAAAGTTTTGTTGGATGCAAGTTTATATTTTAGAGAATTATCGTTCAATATACCTTTGACCTCATATTACACGTAGAAAATTGCGGAGTCTTTGTTTTTTTTGATACGTTACCGTCACTCCATGTAGAACTATCTTTTTGAAAAGTTGCTTGTCCTTCCGCAGTTAAGGACCGAAATATTAAAAAAACGAGACTGCGAGCACATTCTGCGTATCGCCAAACATTTCGTCGTGTATAATTTAATTTTGCGGTTTTTGTATTACAGACATTATTCACTATGCTGGAAGTTTTTAGGGTGGCGTTCATTTGCGCAATTATTTACGTAGACGTCGATTGCGGTGAGTACTGTGATTTTTGATTAAATGGAAATTTAGAAAATAAGATTGGCATTTATTTCTAAAATAGTATGAATAAATATTTTTTGTTAAAGTTTGTTGCTATTATGATTATTTTTATGTTTTATGATTTATTCATTCTTAAAATTGAATATTTTTCTAGTTTATTTTGCGTCATTTGTTTGTTTCGAATGCGTTTGTTATAAACAATCAATTTCATTTTTGTTTCGATGCCAAGCGAAGTAAAGTCTGAAAACCCCCTTTTTTGCTTTATTTAATTTATGGTAAGCTTGCTGACCACTCGTTGCGACTTTTTTTTTTATTCAGTAATTCAATACAACTTTAAGTGCATTTTCATTTGCTTGCGGCGTACGTATTCATTTATAACAAAACAGTGTATTGCTAATCTCATCGTTTCAGAAACAGCCTATGTATAAAAACTCCTCTTGCCTAAAGACATGGTACTTTTTAGCATCATGGTAGCCTAGGCGATTTCGCCCCATATACATGAGTACCTCTTTCTCTTCATGTGATTGTGAAGTGAGGGCAAAAAGTTGCTGCCTCGATGCACAGGGACAAATAAACGGCCACCGTATATGCAGTTCTAGAGAAGAAGCCATTGTTTTTTATGCTATTTCCTCTCATACTCAGCTTATAACATACTGCTCCTATAAGAGTGCATAACGCAAACAATGGAATATTGGAGCATCTCTCTTTGATTCAAAAGGAGGAACCTCCTAGGTAAAATTTGTAACTGGGGTGTATGTACATATATAATATGAAAGTGCAACCTCTCTAAGTATCTAAGATATACTTTTCTCGTATTCCTGACGTATTCGATTTTCTAACCATTCATTCGTTGCAAGTGATTACCAGGGCAGACTTGTCGTGGCCTAATCAATTCACAAAGACAGAGTTCAAATACACGGCCATATTAAATTACGATTCTGTCCTATCCTCTCCCCTCTCTTTTATAAATTTTGAAGGAAACATCTTTTTTTTTTTTTCTGTTTCGGTTTTGAAGGTAAAAACGCGGCGCCATCTCTTTTAGCACTTGTTAAAGGCTGGTATTTTCAAATTTCTTAAAACGTAAATTTACTCGACCGTTCTTAAAAAAATAACAAAAAATTGCTGTTTAATATGAAGGTTTTGTCCCCTAGTTCATATTAAAAGCATACAGGTGAAGATGTTTTTTGCCATCAGTCTCAACAAAGGCGGATCGAAAAGCACCCTGAAGACAATTACGACTGCTTATGTGTAGGGATGCGAAAGTATTTATACACGCAGTGCATTTTTACAAGCCGCGCGCCACGCCCTCTTTTTGCACACGGCGCTCCGGCGGTGACCTCACGCTCTGCCGCTGCGCAGGCTTGGCGACCCCGCCAATTTCACGGCTTTTGGGACGAAGCATCTGCGTTGCTGTGTTTTTCTTTGTGTTTTATTTCTGAGGCACGTCCACTTTGGCCTTGAAAGGCGCGTGCGTGATGGTGTATTTTTATGGCCATTCTCGGGCACAACGCCGACATCTCTTCGGGTAATGGTACATATCAGGCTTTGGCCTTAGAATTGGTAGACGTCATTTCTTGTCTAATGTGCTTTTACTTATGAGAATTTGTCACCTACATGTACGACCGTTCAGCAGCCTTTTGTATAGCTGGACACTTCCATTACACACGTAATGAGGTTTTGGCTGTGTCTTCGAGCGCTGCTCGAGCCATATCTTATGTGGCTATCAGCTCGCCTGAAATGTCCATCACCTTTGACTGGTTACACATGAGTCATGTGGAAAAAATGTTGTCTACGTCACTAATGTGCTACTAGTCAAAGCTGATGGAATTTCCGGCAAGTCTGGGATCTGTGGCCGCGGCGCTTGACCCGGTAAAATTGCCAAATGACGCCTCGCCAACACGTCCTCGCGTTGATCGCAAGGAACGCTATTCCGCTGGCCGAAAATGAGAGGTCAGAATGAAGTGCAGAATAATTAGTCTTTGATTACTTGTTGAATTGAGTTCTAGGTTCTTGCTGTGAAAAGCCGCAATAAACTAAATTAATTAACACGACATTCTAAGCTTCATCCTTTAACCTTCTTACCTTGGAAAATGGCATGGAATAATTCACTTCTTTATTATAGTTTGTTCAAAACTAATCCTCACGCATCATATATAAGTCATAACTACAACCGAACTGCAACTATAACCTCTGTGAAACGTTCATTATTATTGCCGAATCTAGATTTCCGTAGACAGCATTCTCCTTTATTTGTTTTTCACTAAATTTACCACTATCCTTCCCCGCGGCATTATCTACTAAAACCCCCCTTATTTGCTATTCGCCTAGATCGCCAAAACAAAGTTGACGTTCTTTCATGTCATAACAACCCGTTGTTTCACTGGTGTATTCCTCGCACGCCTGTCAAATAAATCTCCCCCTCCCCCACCTCGCCCCCACTTTCCTCGTAAACTGCAATCGTTCATAGCAAACTCCTTTTAAGAATGCTATTTTTAAAGGGCCCCTGAAAAGAAAAAAAAAAGTTTTTTTTAAGCAGTCTGGTTGGGACACGCGTGTCAAAAAATGAAATTTACGCGAAAAAAAAAAAATTTTAGAGCAATATGGACGGCGAGAGATTTATTTGAAATTTTGCGCGAAAATTCCAGGTCATTCAGCTCGGCTTCTCATTGGTAACGATGGTCATTCAAATCGGCTTCTCATTGGCCAATAGAATGAGTGACAGCTTAGATGTTGGTTATAAAATCTTCGTGATCTCTTGAAATCGCCTTCTAAATCACATATTTTAAGTTTTAAGAAACAATCCATCGAATGAATGTCGCAATTGTTTACAAACGTTTTACAAAATCGTAACTTCCGTTCGGACACTACAACAAAACAACAAACATAAGCTTCGCCATTTTGTTTTCTGTCGTGGTCGCCGTCTCGTAACTCGTCTCGCGTAGTTTTATCGCGTTTATATGTGAAGACCTTCTGAAGAGCGCGTGTTGCTTGTGTTATTTATTCATCGTAAGTACTTGAGAAGTGGCGCGGGGTGACAGGTTTTTGTTTTTCTGCTCTTCTTTGCGTGATTTCTGTGTCCCGTTTACCCCATCTTTCGTTTGTTTTCTTGAGCGCGCCAGTGCGATTTTTCTTTTTTTTTTTTTGAGATGTCAAATCCCGTAAAGCATTTAGCGAAGGCACGCGGCACCGCACTCAACGTTTAATAAAAAAAAATCAGTTACCACTGCGTGTCCTCGCGGCGGCTTGAAGGGTCGTGCGGCTCGGACGAACTCGTCGAGGCACCTGCTTCGCCGCGGCGAAGCGGGTGCCTCTTCGCGAGCGGTTTTCTCGCGGCGATCGGAGCGGATGCCTTTCGGCTGGCGAGGCGTGTTTTCGCACGGGCGAAGGGCCAGCTGCTGGTCGGGGTCCATTGGGACGGCTATGTACTGTGTGTACGACCACGGTGACCACGGTACGTGCACGGTACGGCGCGGTACGACGTGCGACCGGCAGACACGGGCTGTGTTCCAAATCTCCAAATGAATCCGAGTTACTTCGGCGGATCGCATCACGTGACAGCACAGATTGAAAAACGCTGGACGCGGGTAGGTTTTAGAACACCAAGGGTACACTACCCTTACTGTAGAGTAAGATCGAGTGAATTTTGGAACACTGCCAGGAAGTAGCAATGGCTCTTGTGCGGCGCGCAGCCAAGCCAGGCAAGCAGCCAAGCCGATCCACTACGAAGGGGCGGGGAGTACCTCTCCTCCACGCGCCCGAAATGCCGAGAGAGAAAACAAGTGGAAAGGAGGTGACTACTGACTAAATTGCGTCTGGCACAGTCAATATTGCTCCGAAAAAAAATTTTTTTTCGCGCAAAATTCATTTTTTGACACGCGCGTCCCAACCAGACTCTTTTAACAAAAAACTTTTTTTTTCTTTTCAGGGGCCCTTTAACCAATTCTTTTCTTAGCAAATCGGTTTACCCGTTTATTTCGCTTTTGTGTTCTCTGGGATTTACTCTACCACCTCCCTCTGTAATGCCGTGTGACCAGGAAAATTAATAATTGATCTGCTAAAGAGATTCATATAACTCCATAACCTGATGGCAATTTCCCCGGCCACCGTGGCCAGTAGACTGAAGCGTCACTTTCGACTACATACATTTCTAGGATTAAATAGTCTCGGGTTTATATTTTTCAATTATTTTAGTGCGCAGCTCTTAGAAGCCCTTTTCCGGGTTGAGCGTCGTCGCGGTCACCGTCGGCGTAACCGCGCGTCACATTATGGAACGTTTTTCATGATAAAGTCACACCTGACGTCATGTGTGACGTCACGAGGGTTACCGTCACGAGGGTTAGGAGCCTTACCCTCATGACCGTCACCCTCGTGAGTTTAACCTTCCTTTCCCACATGAGGGTCACGAAGGTAACGTCACAACGTCACGCTCGTGACGTCACGTGTTACGTCAATATAAAAAACACCTGACGTAAGACGTCACCTGTGACGTGACGTGACGTCAGACGCATCTAACATTGCCAATATTCCCGGTAAAATTAGCGACGCAATTTTGCGCTAAATATGTCGGAAAATTATTCCTGCTAAATTTATCATCGTCGCGTCACAGTTGACGACACGTTTGGCTTCTAGAGGGTAAAATTTCCCCGTTAAATTTACCAGAAATGTTTACCCGCTAAATTTAGCGAGGGTGGACGAGGGGCATATTCTCCCCTCGAGGAGGAAGAGGGTGGGTATCTCCCCTGTTCCTCTTCGAGAGCTGCGCTCCAGTTTGGCGTTACGGAGAATTGTAAACGTCTTTCATTTTCTGTCTTTTATTTTCGTTCTATTATGAACGCAAAAATCACGTAATTTAAAGAATAATTCACCTTCGGAAGACTTTTTATTTAATATCTGTGTTTCTAATTGCTCTGAGTAGCGCCTCGGCTAGAGCAGTTTCCATCGCATTTTTGCTTCTGTAAAATAATGGGAATGTTCCTGACCGTCAAAAGCCTTGA